TATTTAGTATTATATTATTAACGGACGGCCCCTAACTAATAATTATTACTTACTTGCAGGTTGAAGTTCCGCTCACCCTGTTTTACCTGGTGTTAGAGACCACCTAGTACCTACTGCCTGTGTTCGTCGTTCGCTGTTTAGTTAGTTGCACAATCAGCACAGTATGACCTAGGCTAAGGCCCGGGCAGTAAGGCTAAGACTAAGTTAGAGTAAGACTGACTACTGACCTGTACTGTAGTGTAGGCTAGTGTAGCTGTAGCATGACTCTGTATACAGTACCTGGTACTAGGTATACATACATGTATTGTAAGCCTTGCTTGATAAAAATGTAGTGTGAAAGCAAGTCATGTACAGGATTGTACATGTACATGTAGGTGGTTGCTGACACCAGGTCCAGGTCACCAGGTGGTCGCTCCACCAGGTACTTAGTAACTGGTTACAGACTAGTGCCCGTAGTAGTGGAGGTACTGTAGTCTGGTAGTTGTACACTACATACACATGCATTTTTATTAGAATCGTTATTTCATTGACTCTTGCACACTAAACATGGTAATAAATTAAAAATAATAATGATGGTATGAACTAGTAACTGTTACTTACTTGTACAACATGACTTTGTGCAGGTCTCCTACAAATGCACATAACAATGCAAGCCGATGTCGCTGGACGATGAGGCGCTGTCACAGACTGTCACACTCCACACCTTCACAAGTCACACACTCGGATTGCACTGTCACCTTGCCCTTGGTCAAGTACCTGCCACTGCCAGTACTGGTGCTAGTCTGTGCATCTGTCCATGATGTCGTGTACTGAGATCTACACTGACCGACTGTGGACTGACACGTAGTGTAGATCTACTGTGTAGATCTACAGACTACACCTAGGTACCTGGCAGATCATTCTACAGTCAGTGACTTCTACACGTATAGTCAGGGAGCCGACCTTCAAAAAAGTGGCGCTCCAGGTCGGGCGAGATGGAGTACAAGATCTCTTCAGCAATGGGTTATGGGTCTATCAGAGAAGGGCTTTCGAGTTCTTGGCCATCCCAAAGCTGTGCACGGACATCGCGAGGACGCATTTTGTTCGACGATCAAATTCACAATTGTCAAGCATTTAGGCGCAAATGTTTTTCGTTCTCAGCCGACTTCTCGGTTTGAGAAGTAGGTGCGCACGCTCAAAATTCCAAATCAGTGACTATGCGCCTGTCCAGAAGATGACGACGCTGCAAGCTTACTTTCTCAAAGCGTGACATACATTTTCATTACGATTTTGACTTTGAATGTGAGAATAGTATTGCCATCGTCAGGTCCACTAGTCACGAAGCATGGCGCTTCTGGACAAAAGCGCAACATAGAGTGTGTACCAGCAATAGTGCACAATAATACTCGCGCCTACTCCGGCAATTCTGCAACGCGTGCAAGCAAAGTTTCAAAAGTATATTTCCAGGTCTGACTGAGGTCGAGTCGAGCGAAGATTCCGGCAGAGTAGGCGAGATGTTGCTTGCTGACAAGTCGGCCTCCGCGTCCCTGAGTCCTGACTGCCAGTGCCACAGCCGTATGCACCAGTGACCAGTCACCGGACGTGCAAGATCATCATCACCCATGTCGGTACTCTGCCTGGCCTATTTATCTGCTGGTGGTGTCAACTCCGTTGCAGTTTGCCAGCTTGTTTGTTCCGGTACTCGTTCTTCACTGGTTCAGGTGAGCCTAGCTGCTTTTGCACAAAATACTTTGTGGATCCTGTGAGAGATCATGTAACTCGAAAACGAGACGTTGTTTGAAACAAAGGTAGAATGACAATCACTGCCAGTTCCACATGCACTTCTGACAGGAACTACGACAGACGTCTACGTGGCAGCACCAAAGGAGAGCATGGGATAGGCAACATCACAAGATAGAACATACATGCGCGCACGTACATGTGTGCGAGCTTGTGTACACGCGCGCACGCCCACACACGCTTGCAAGCGTGTACTCACATGTGTGCGAGTGTGCATGAGTGCACACACACGCACACACATGTGACTCTCTGTTCGCACACACACACACACACATACATGTGTGCGAACATGCGCGCATTCATCACACACGCGTGCGCACATACACACAGGTGGATGCGCACATGCCAATGCTCACACACACACACGCATACACGTGTACATGTGCACGCACACACACGCGTGCGCGCTTGCACGCACACACACTCGTGCGCGCTTGCACGCACATACACACAGGTGGATGCGCACATGCAAATGCTCACACACACATACACGCATACACATGTACATGTATATGTGCACGACACACGCACGCGTGCACACACAGGTGGATGCGCGCACATGCATGTGTGCGAGATTGTGTACACGCGCGCACGCCCACACACGCGCGCAAGCGTGTACTCACATGTGTGCATGAGTGCACACACACGCACACACACACACACACACACACACACACACACACATGTGACTCTCTGTTCGCACACACACACATACATGTGTGCGAACATGCACGCATTCAACACACACGCGTGCGCACATACACACAGGTGGATGCGCACATGCCAATGCTCACACACACACACACACGCATACACGTGTACATGTGCACGCACACACACGCGTGCGCGCTTGCACGCACATACACACAGGTGGATGCGCACATGCAAATGCTCACACACACATACACGCATACACATGTACATGTGCACGACACACGCGTGCGCGCACACACAGGTGGATGCGCACATGCAAATGCTCACACACACACGCTCATACACGTGTACATGTGCACGACACACGCGCGCGCCCGCACACACACACATGGATGCGCACATGCCGATGCTCACATGCATACATACATATAAACACACACACTCATGCACGCGCGCGTCATTATCTACGAATCTCAGAAACATGCAACACGCGGCCAGAAGTTAATCATCACCAGTGAACTTGCTGTGATTGTGGTACCAACAACATGCTGTGCAAGAACGTCACCATCATCGGCTGCTCTGAGGTAGCATTCCAGAATGGCAATTTACAAAGCCGCTGTCTAGTGCCCTACTATCATCTCCACGGAGCAGCAGTCGGAACCCAGGAGATAACTGCTCTGCATAGCTGCAAACATCGCAAAGGTTACAGCACTGGATGCTTCTAGTGCAACGGGTCACCCCAACCCTGTACTATACTTGCTGGTGCATGTCCGAATGTGACAACCCAATCATTAGCGCCCATGTTCTGGACCGTCGCTAACGCTTCCGCCCAGGGCCTTATTACGGACTTTTACGGTACTCGCCGATGCATGTCCGAATGTTGCAACCCGCTCAGCAGCACTACACATGTGAGCAACAAGTGGACGTCGTTGGCAGCACAGAGCAGAGGATCGCAAACCGGATGAAGAATGGATACTGTTCTCCATGATGAAGGGATCAAAAACCGTTCAACACAGATATTGCGCTACATCGTCTTGCCTGGATGTATGCGGTGCCGATGCATATCGCGTCCAAGACACTGTTTACATATCTGCATTCAGCCTTTGTTCACATAAATATGATGCACCGTAGCTGTAGTTTTAAAATGATTATATTCTACATGTTACCGCCACATTTACTGATTGCGTTTGCGGAAATTCCTAAAATTAATATACTACGTCTACTACTACTCAATTTACCACACAAAGGACTGAGTGAAGTAGGGAAATAATCATCCCATGATCTTCTACAATGTGAATGCTTCCACGTACGCGCATGTCATTGTGCAGCATCCGAAACTTCAACAAAACAATGATTCAAAGAGACGTTATTCAAGATAAGTCATGCATTTCTACGTTCACTGGTATAATCAAAGATTCCGTTCAAGGCAGCTGCCATGGTGTGTACCTTACCACCTTTAACACACGTTGTCAGTCCGCTCATTGACTAGCATGAAATCGTTTGTAGCAGGAGTACTCTTGTTTGTAGTGAGGATCAATCTACAAAACACTATTGGTAAAAACAATCAAGAGTCACCTCGATGGAGACGGACAGTTCCTACGAGACCTGCCTGTCGACATCAGGGTCAAGTGGCAAGTCATTTAGCCGTTACGCACGACAATCTCAGGAACACCAGTCATGTCCTCCGACGACGAACCAGCTACTGTATGTTTGTCTTCAGAACTCAGAACGACACAATTATACAAACAGAATGAAAAATGCTTCATCGACGGTGTGACTTTGCGTTTCGCTTCGTGTTTCTTTGTGTTTCTCTTGAAAATCTAGCACAATTGAGTCATTCGCATGAAAATGTCTGGTTACGTCAGCGAAACCCGCTGATTTCCCCATTTTTCAAGCGCTGAATGGCGCAAAAACTGTGAAATCACGGCAACGAAATAGTGTTCGACGAGCGAACAAACCTCCTTGCACCGGCATTGCTGCACAGCTTCGGGACGGCCAAGTTCTCAAATCGTCCTCTAGAGACCCTTGCCTACCTCTGTGCGAAGTTTCAAGTCCTCCCTCTGAAGTGGCATACCCCGAAAATAAAAAGCATCCTACAGATTTCAGCTCCCGGACTAGTAACACAGACTCTCTGTCATAGCATTATCAGCAATGACGTTGCAGTAGCAAAGACTCTGAAACTAGTGAAAGAGTCATCGTTGAGCCTGGCATAGAGTAGGAGAGAGTAGAGTTTTGTAGTCTACATTGTAGACTACAAAACTCTACTCTCTCCTACTCAGTACTCTCTAGTCTAGACTCAGACTAGACTGTAGAGTCTAGTACTCTCTACACTCTAGTCTAGAGTAGAGAGTAGATCGAGTAGAGAGCCCGTACATCTGATCTAGACCTACGAGTCCATAATAGCATAGTTTGGATGGGCATCACTACTGACACTGGCACTGCGAACAAGACACTACAGTCTACACTGCACAGACTGTGCACTACATACCAGTATACTGGTCACTGCATGCTACAGACTACACACACTACAACCGTGAAGTCCAAAACCGATTCGTTTTCAAACCGTCAGAACGGTACCGCTTGCTTGCACATGTGCGTGCATCGAGATCGACGGCGCTAGTGAAATAATTTTTTGTTTGCAGACGTTTTCATCTGTTCAGTAGTCGAGCTGCGGAAGGAAGGAACGAAGGAAGAGCGAGCAGTAGACGTCTGGAGCGTTTGCGCGGCTTGCGTTGTCCAGCGCCATGCCACCACGAAAAAACGGTGAGTGCAGTGACTGCTCTCTTACATTTAGGCTGAAACAGCCAACTCCAGTCCTGCACTCTTGCAGAGTTTGAAAGCAGCGGAAGAGGTTGTTCAGGGACGCTGTACCTATCGCAACTTGCTCGAATTATTTGACTGCACGTGTGCTTGCTCTGTGACACTGTGCCTGTGTGCGTGTGCTTCTGTTTTGACCACTTATGTGTGCGTTTATTTGGCCAAATAGCCGATGCGCATCGCGCTTTGGAGCTGTTGGAGGAGTACCATGCGCAGCTCAAGGATTCCAACGACAAGCCTTTGCGAACGGCCATTGAGAGAATCATCCGAATCTTTCGCAGTCGCCTCTTCCAAGCACTGCTAGGTAGGTTACTGGCTTTTACCTAACGCTAGTGTCACAAACCTACATGCCCACTACCTAGTCATTTGTAGCGCACAGTGTGGCGCAACAGCGAATCTGCTGGGCGCGCTAGGTCGTTGCCACCCCCGTCTTGTTTCGGTATGTACCTAGTACCTATGGCCCTTGCTGATATGGTGGAAATAACTATGAGCGTTGTGTGTGAGTTGCTGTGGCGTTGTTGTAACCCTATGTCTTGTTACAGTCTCCCGGTGTGCTGCGTCGTTGAACGTATGTATGATACACCTGGCAGAGTGCATTGCACTGGCTCTGTCCGGAAGCAGTTCTTTCCGCACAGTGCATTCGTGAGAAAGCGGAGGAAATAGTTTCGAGGAGATTGAGGAAAAATCTCTGTGGCCGCGTGATGTTGTTAGTTCTGTATGACTAATAATGTGATGCACGCCGCAACCGTTGCATGCCTGGGCCTAGTGAACTTTCCCTGTCACCGGTCGTTCGCTTTCCTGCGATAAGTATTTCTGTCCACGAAACGTTGCATCGTTGGGTGGCTGCTTTTCGGTTTGCCATTCATTTCATGGGTCCTGTGTCTGCTTGGAGCGTTGACGAACAGTATGATTGTAGAGTTCGCTCTAGGTGTTTCACCACTGTGAGTGTGGTTGTATCGAGTGCCTGTGTTGCGTACTCCACATCGATATCACTATTCTGTCGTTCTAATGGACACAGTGTGTCGTACGAATGCTTGAACAATCTATCGATGTGTTGCGTTGCCTTGCTGCGACTTGGCACTGGTATTTCTGGTCGAGGTTTAGGTATTGAAGCCAATAGAAACCGCTCGAGAGCGATATCGGGCCGGCGTACAGGCACGCAGATTATAACTAATCCGCCTAGTCGAGGGTATGGCGTGTCACTCTCGCATTACTGCCAACGGCACAGCCAATGCTACTGGCATTCGCTTCGAGTTAGAGGTTGTGCTGACTGCAGCCCGGCCAGGGCAGGTCGTGTTTTCGGTCGGGCCCAGTGAAGCACACATCGAGTAATGATGTGCATCGCTGCGTTTCGTTTCCACTGGCCTTGACAATCCTGCCGTCTTCTCTCCACTATCGCACCTGCAGAGTCGCCAACGAGCTGCACACACCATGACCATTGCGAACTGGTGTCGATAAGAAACATCCACATGGTTTTGTTCCCGCATCGAATAGTACTCGGAGTGATAGCTCCTTGGTGCATGCCATTCGAAAAATTACTTGAGACAAGGATCTCTCAGTTGTCCTCGTGGCAGCTAGTACTATTATTACTACTAAAGTAGTTATGCATGGGTGGGTGGCACGGGATCTTCAGTGATTATGATTAATGTAGACCGTACTCATGCAGTCTCTACGTCGTTACAGTTGTGGTGCTGTCACCACCAAGGCACTACAGTACATGATTGTAGTGACTTCCAACGCCAGACTAGAGCATTACTATAGAGGTTATGCGAATGACGTCACGAGGAGCGCCAAGGCGGCTGCGAGTGGCAGGGGTGGCAAAATGAAGTCGTTTCTGCTTGAACTATTTTTTACTAGTCTTTGAGAGGAAAAGTAAAATTTGTTGTTGGTTGTCGACATATCGTTCCTCACTTTTATTTTGATTTCCGCTGGTGTCTCGCTTGCTGAAGTTTTTAGCCTTCAACATGCCGAAGAGTTGTGCAGCCGTCGGATGTAGCAATCGTGCCGATCCTGGAACGGCTGTGAAGTTTTACAAGTTTCCTGTAGCGGACGAGCGGCGCAAACTATGGGTTGCGGCTATGAGACGAGAGAATTGGAAGCCAACTGACAGTAGCAGGATCTGTTCAGACCATTTCGTAGGCGCAGAGAAGAGCAACGATCCACTATCTCCCGCTTACGTTCCGAAACTTTTTGAACATGTCAGGACTCCTGTAAAGCGTAAAGCGGAGAGGGATTTGGTGGCATATGAACGCCGAGCGAAGCGGAAGCTGACGTTCGAGGAGAGCAAGACGCAGACACCAGTGAAAGTGGACGCCTCCGGGAATGACTTCACAGAGGCAATGGCAGATTTGCCTGGTGCCTATGGTGCAGAGGTAGAGTCTGATCCTGTAGCAGTCTCCAGTGTCTCATCGCAGACTGACATGGATATGGAGCACTTGACGCGGCTGGAGGAGACAAACAACTGTTTGGTCCTGGAAAGCAAACGGATGCCACACGCTCCAGGACAAGGTGACACCTTGTCAATCGAGTCGTTTGAGAAAGACAACGCGAAGGTGCTCTTCTACACTGGTTTGCAGTCTTTTGGGACCATGATGGGCATATTTGAACACGTGAGGAAGAGAGTTCCACAGCACCACCGCCACACGCTCTCTCTCTTCCAGCAGTTCTTGATTGTTCTCATGAAGCTTCGGCTGAATTGTCGGGACCAAGACTTGGCGTACAGATTCGGCATTCACCAGTCGACCGTGTGCCGGATTTTCCAGCGCTGGATCCGGGTGATGCATGTGATGCTGGGACCACTTGTCAAATGGCCGGAAAGAGACGAACTACGCAAAACTCTGCCACTTGAATTTCGTAAGCATTTCCCGGGCTGTGCTGTCATTATTGACTGCTTTGAAGTTTTTTGTGAACGACCTTCTGATCTGATGGCAAGAGCTCAAACGTACTCTCACTATAAAAGCCATAACACTGCAAAGTTTTTGATTGGCGTAGCGCCACAAGGTGTCATTACATTTATTTCGCATGCATGGGGCGGGAGAGCCTCAGACAAGTTCATCACAGAGCACTGCGGTCTGCTTAGTCACCTAAATCCGGGTGACCAGGTGCTGGCTGACCGTGGTTTCACTGTTGAAGACAGCGTTGGCATGTTCTGCGCAGAGTTGGTGATGCCCCCATTTACGAAGGGGAAGAAGCAACTCTCCAGGCTGAAATTGGACAGTGCTCGACAAGTGTCACGCGTCCGTATCCATGTGGAGCGAGTGATTGGAATGCTTCGCCAGAAATACACGATCCTCTCTGGCACTTTGCCCATTGCTTTCCTCATGCATGACGATAAAGCTACATCATGTGCATTCATTGACAAGGTTGTCACCGTCTGCTGTGCTCTGTGCAACTGTTGTGAGTCCGTCGTACCTTTCGAGTAAATTACATCATGCCGCTTTGTCAGCTGTAATGATTGCTATATTATTAACCCCTTGTGCTTTTTGGACTGTCTGGATATACCGGCAATTATATTTCTGTTTTACCTATTCTGCAGTTGCATGCGCATGTGTTCACCTCATTGACCTCGCTTGTTTCTAGTTTCTTTTGTCTGGCTAGCCAAGCTTGCTTGGTCATGGCAACACCAACAGACTTACAATAATAGTAATAATAATGGCTTCTATCATCACTCACGACATGCCTGCGTTTCTTGTTGCATCAATATAATGACTCGTGGTCCAAATAGGGACAACACAATATAATATGAATAGCCCTGAAACCCAACTTAGGGTGCTGGGTAGTGTGCGATGTACCATCAGATGTAGTATGCCCAGCACCAAAGAACAACTCAACTTATGCCAACATCACCCGGAAGAGACGTAAAGAGCGAAGTGTTTGATGTGTAATGATGGAGTTCCTCTGCTCACATGCATAAGCAGTGAGTGGTCTTCACGCATGTCCTGGGACCCACAAATACGAATCAGCATTATGGTCCTTCAGAGATACATGCAAGCAAAGAAATACAAGAAAGGTAACGGAAATCGTTGTGAAAGCCCAGCCACCGATTGTATGCACACACGTGGCAAGTGCAACAGCAAGTACCGTGGAAGGCACAGCAGAACAAGTTGAAAATGCAACTCTAGAAATACCAGAATAGCAGGCTCCATGAATATAATCACTTCTCAAATGCTTGAGACTTGGATTTACAAATGCTACGACAAAAATGACTATGTACATGGAAAGTTGGTTGCACCCCATACTAGAGGTCGAGCTTTCCTGCCGCCTTGACTGGACATTTGACTGACTCACGACTGCCATTTAGAAACTTGACAAACTCACGACTTCCATCCAGACACTTGACTGACTCACAACTGCCATCTAGAGCAGAGAAGAAGTCCCTCGAGCCCTCCTTCCGGCAAACCTGCAAGAAAGCACCACTCCCTGCTCAATACACAGTGTTTCGGGGAATTCACCCCTCATGCAGTTGAGCTTGAGTAGGCTGACGAACATTGTGCTTAGCGACCAACATTCCTATAAACTTGTCGCCGAAGTCGCTACCACTGTAATTGTACATGCATATCATTATTTAGTGGCAGATTTAATCTTGCGACACTCCGGGCAGGTCCAGTTCTTGCGCTTTGGCTTACTCTTCAGCTGCAAACAAGCCATGTGGAACAAACGAATACTGCAATCGTTGTTGGAACATCGCAGTACCTCGCCAGCCTTCACAGACTTGCAGTAGCAAAACTCCGGAGGGCGTTCTTGATCCGCAGTAGATGTTGTACTGGCAGCACCAAGTGGTTCCGAGGCTGATGTAGCCGCTGAAGACGCATCGGCAGGAAGAGTGGAGAACGTCTTAGTGAACCATTTCCCAACAAGCTCTGGGAGAACAGCACACTGGAAGAATTTCTTGGCACCTGCTACCGCTTCACGGATGAAATCTGTGTCTGCACAGATACGCTCCACAAACAGCTGACCTTCATTCCACACAACAAAGTCACAGTACTGCACCTTACACACCAGCATCTGTAGCTGTACTTGGTAGTAGTACATGTGGTCTTGCTTAAGATGGAGTGCTCCGCCGGACTTTACTAGACAGAACTTCCCTGAATCGGCAGCATCATGCAGGCTACTGTCTCGGCACCCGTACGGGCACTTCACTTCCACCACGCCGTTGCCACAGCAGGAGCACTGCACAAGGGAGTCGGGAGTAGCGCCAAGATATGGATAGTCCGGATGAATTACAAAGCCACTGGGCAGTACTTCAACCTTCTGATGTGTTGCACTGGCATGTTCACTATAGTTGTCAATTGCCTTCTGCTCGTGATCACATCCCCATTGTGTGGCTTTGCTACGAAACTTGTGTGCCTCAGGGTAACACACAGAGCGGACTAAGGACGCAGAGGGCTGGCTAATATCCGTGCGAACAGCAGACTTCAACTTTGAAGCTGTGATCCGGCCGGCGCGAAATTCAAACCAGGCCTTGGAATCGGCCTGGTTCCGCGTAGCCTGTTCCACAGCGCGTGCTTCCTCCTCTGAAACACAGACCGCTGGAAATACTGCCTCGCAACGAACGAGCAGGTCCCCAAAACTAGCATCCAGCATGTCTGGTTCGTACAATAAATCCAAAATGGGTGGATATCCCTCGGGCTTGGAAGGTACGTACCTATCGCAGAACCCGGGAACAAGGGAGAGTAATGACGGTTTACCGGCTTGACATAAATTTCCATATAGTTCACCCAGCTCAGCACTGGAGGGTTGCTTAATATCAGCAGGGACCTTCTCCTCCGACCTACGGCGCTTGCTCCCATGCTGTTTAGTGTCGGGTGCAGTGAAGTTTATGTCACGAATCCTGGCATACTCCACCTCCTTCATTGAAGGAGTTGACCATTGGCACGGCAATGAAGTGCTTCCTGTGTTCTGAATCAGCTGCGTTCTAGAATACAGGCTGAACAACAGTGCAGCAACGTGAGAACAAGACTCACCAAGACCAGCCATGCAGGTGCAGTGTGCACAAATCACGCTACCGTCGTTTTGCGCAGCAATCCAGGGTTGCAGATGGGTGCCGGAAACTGACTGGGAATGGCGGACTTTGGCGATGACAAACTTGCTGTCACATGTGTCAGATTCAGACGCTGGAAACGCACGAACATCGCCGACCCAGCCACTGACAAGGTATTTGTAGCCTTCCAAGCTCTTGTAGGCCTTGAGCTGCTCCTTGGTGTAGGGGCTGGGCGCGTTGACCAAGAAATTGTAAATATCGGGATAGTCCACAAGTGGAAATTTATCTTCCCCTAAAAAAATACTTCTGGGCAGGTAAGGATCACTCGAGTCTGGTGCAACGCGCTCGAGCTTTTCACGGTACCGGCATTTGCTGGAGTCATCTAACTCGTCATACACTTTTGAAAACTTGGGAGAAGTCATGGCCACTGATTCAGCGTTCGTACAATAGTCCTTTGTAAAGAACAGAAGAGGAACGTAGCAGCGATACAGGAAATTTCCTTCGTGAAATTATTCCAGGCACATGTACTTCTTTTGAACTTTTCATCTCTTTTGCCACCCCTGCGGAGCGCGGCCGCTTTGGCCGCCTACACGCCGCCTGCACGTGATCCTTTCGCATAACCTCTATAGTACTTCGTCTGTCCGCTCTGTGTGTGGCGATCATACGGTCATTACTACATTAGCATAGTACCTCCCTGATCCACTTACTAGGACAGTCAACATTCACGTCACAGGGTGTATTTCAAATTGTTCAGATGTCTTGATCCAGGATCCAGGATCTATCTCAAGTCTTCTGCCTGATGGGGAATGAATGTGCTATGAATCATGATAGGAGGGTTGTTCTATGTCATGAAGTACAGATATGCAAGCCTTTATCAAGAAAGCCAACACCAATTTGTGACCAAGCCTTGCCAGGTGAAATGCAATGGATGGGTGTGGGGGTCTGCTCAGGGCTGGCTAAAGACCATTACATTGTATTCTCAAAGCTATCCTCAGCAGTGTCGTGCCATTATCTCACATATGACATCACCCACGCTATATTTGCACTGCCCTGCGCCACAGGCTGGGGAAGGGTCCTTGGTCTCATAAAGATAACCTTGAGCCCAGAGGGCACCAGTCCATTGAGCTTTGTTTGCGTGGTTCTCAGTGGGTCTATTGGTTGATGATGGTCACTACCCATAGCCAATTATTAAAAGCAATGGTTGTCACATTAGAATATTCCAACTGTATTTTTATAGATGGAAGAGCCCAGAGCTACTATTTCTCATTGATGGCTCTATCCACTACCAAGAGCTCCAAGAGTACATGTACAGTCTTTGCCACGTCAGGCGAAATAGCACGTCATAGGACATTTGAGATCAGCGGGAAGAATATGACGACGTCCACTAATTTAGTATCTGTGCACACGAATCTGCTGTGTGTGTGACTCTGTGTGTCAGCTATGATATCATCTCCTGTGGTTCCATGCCTAGCATGTACGTCTGAACCATCCTGCAAAGTTTGAATGACGTAGGTGGAGCGATCGCTCCGCGAAACATACTTTTTGAAATTCTCTTCATAGTATATCTTCCACCATTGAAATTTCGAATTTCTTCGAATTTTTTGCTGAGAGGGGTGGCTTGCAACCTCGATATGGCTTGTTCCAGGCATGCTTTGGAGCCACCGCCTGTTGAAACAGTGGCGGAAAGCTGCCCTGCAACTGTTCCAACAGGAATTTAATCGATCCGAGAAAGCGCGAGTTCGCGAATCTCGGTTGAATATTGAGTATTTCAAGCCTTTTCACGACGAAGATGGAGTTCTTTTTGGAGATGGACGTCGCGGCAAAGGACATGGTGTCCGACTTCTGGCGTCTGGTGAAGCCAGGGATCATTTGTCCAGTCAGATTGGCAGCCTAACCGTCGGTAAGCTTGTGGTTGGATCCCCTTCTGCTCGATGTGGTAGATCACAAACAATTTGGTATCGCACAAATTGATCTCAGCATCGTGCGTACGGTATTTTATATTCAGAAAATCCCAAAGTGTCTCTGTGTGGCCGTCCTATGCCACGAGAAACTCCAATCAGGCTCCCATGTCCTCTGCCTATATGATTGAATGTCCACTTCGTTTGAACAACGAACACAACAATCGAGGACGGCTTTGCAATGAAAAATACAGCTATACTGGAGCTGAAAAAACGAAGAAAAAAACGTGCTCGGGATGAGACTCGAGTACACGCATACTCTCCCAGCAGGTGAAATGCAAATAATTTAATTTTGTGAAAAATGCGTGTCGCCGACTGCCTGACGAAAAATCCGACCAATGCTATGCTAGCTGTCAGGGACATACTCACATGCTATGAAGTACCATGCCACACACACACGCCGTAAATGTGTACCGTACCACTGACGGTATCCATGGTCTCAGCATTGGCCGGATTTTTCTGGCGACGGCTGTAGCTCAGAAAGCACATAGCATCCAAGAGTGCACAGCACCCAAGAGCGCATAGCTCCGAGAGTACACAGCACCCGAGAACGTACAGCTCTCAGGAGTGTCCCGCTCATAGTGCCGCCATGTCGCCCGACAGAGTTTCGACTTATTGACGTCATGCCTATGATGCCATGCTCGATGCACGCATATTTTCAGATGTGTCCGTGGACATTTTCCGATCCAATTTCTGTACAGACTCACGGAACTCAGTCATGTGTGATCATCCGGGCTGACACATTTGCAGGGACTCGAATACGCAGACTCAAAACATGTTTCAACCACTTTTGTATTCTCTGTTCTCTCTTACCGTCGTGGCTTATTCAATTGTTTGCAAGGGCCCCCCTGATTGATTGAGTAAACAGATAAGCAATGGGCAGGTGCCTGAACCTCGAAAAATCACGGTATGCGTACACGCCTACTTGCTGCTGTTGTTTTGTACCACACCCCACCCCAGCAAGTCTGTACATGTAATCGCCCCAGTAAGTCTGTATATGGTCTTTTGTATCTATTCGAAGTGGCTTATGCGAACATTTTTGGCTGGTTTGCATGATTTGCATGCCCATTAATGCAGCTGCAGGCCATGCTGATGTCTACGCGAACAAGCACATAATAATAATAATAAGTCTGTATCTGAGCCGCAATCAGCGAAAACGACCCTTAGAGATTTCGTAATTTTTTCGAGAAAAAGGTTGATTTGTGACGTTCAACAATTGTTTTGATCGCGCTGCGAACAGCGCGACGACTTCTTGAACTCCTTGCTTGAAGTAATTTATTTTGAAGTTAGATGAAGTGGTGTCGAGTGGCGACTCCAGTGTTCCTTGATCTTGCTGCGATGGATGCGGACGCCAGAGCTGTTCGCAGCGCACACACGGCAGTCATTGTCTACAGCTAGCTCGAGCCTGGTGGGGATCCGGGAGTGGATGCTGAAGTAGCCGCTGAAGTTCAGAATAAGGATGAGACGTTCTTTGGTTCCGACATCCGCATGTCGACAGCGAGGCGGAATCGCAGCCGTCATCTCCTGCTGCGATGCGGCTCAAGGTGGCCGATGACTCGTCAGAGTCGGAAGATGAGGAGTCGTCACCTGAGATAAATTCTGAGTCTGGGGCTAGTGACGGCAGCGACGTCGTGTCTTCAGCTGCGGAGGAAGAAATGGAAGACGAGATTGCGGAACGACTCCACGCAGGATGCAGCTGCGAATATGTCGATCATTTCTCCGCACTCATCAGCTATTCTTTGTCATTATAGCTGCTTACTGCACTATTTCAAAAGTATTCAAGCTGCCCACTCACCTTCGAATGATGAATATTCATTGTACACATACATCGTATACATACATTGCACCAATTTGGAGTACATCTTGTATATTGGTGTATACACCCGTTTAGAATCGGAATATTGAACTTTTTCTTGGCTGAGGTCCTTCAGTAGATATGATTCAACAAATTTCTAACCAAAAAGGAATTTTGAAAATGTTGACCCTAAGGGCTGTTTTCGCTGGTTGAGGCCCATATGTAATCAACAGTTGGGCAGGTGTGTGTGTCAACCGTGACACCTTTTTCCCATTTTCCATGCTTTTTGTGAGTACTGGCTTTGACATGTATATGATTGTATACATGCTGGTCCTGCATTGTGTTGTGTGTAGACATCCAAGACTTTTACGATGCCACACTTATGGACGATGACAAAGCGTCCAGGACGAAGACGCAAGAGGCGTTGGCCATGGCCATGCGGTGGGAGAAACAGTCACCCATGCCCGGCAGTGATCGCAACAAGAGTTCGTCGGGCAGCACCAGCACAGCTGACTCGGCTGCCTTGACCAACGGCAGAGAAGTAAGAGTGGAACCTTGAGCTTATTGCGTGCATTGATGCATTCCCAGTCCACTACGTGTTTCAACACCCAAGGCAGCGGTGCTGCTGCTGTTGTTGAACACTGCTGCACTGTGTAAGCACCGGCATTGGTAATTGGTCATTGTCTTTTACCCAGTGCCAGTTACAGGTGATGTACATTGAGTTATAAGTACTTTCTCTCCTTTACTTGACATATCTTTATTCGAGCTAAAAAAAATGTGAGAACAGGAAGGAAACACAGGAACGCAACACATTTTAAATGGAAAAATGTATGAAAAAAAGTCTCTCCTTTATTGCTCTCATGAGTCGTGGCTAACTCATACATCTGATGTTGCTCTTCGTTGTTGTGTCACTTTCGCCTTGCCATGCTTCAGGACGATGCTCCTCCTGTTCCACCGCCTCCTGCCACGGAGGAAGATGAGCCGGCACAGGTACGGAAGCAATCCATCGAGCATGCAGACAGAGCCGACCCAGCTGACTTCCAAGTCACAGAAGTATGTGAAGTGCACGATGCGTGTCAGACTGACTGCATTCGTGACTGTCTGTACCCCTAACACCATTGAGCATGTCTAACCAGATCCCCAAGTCTCCTACTCAGGGTACCGTGAAAGTTCAACATGTTACTTCAGTGTGTATTACCGAGTATCGAATTTTACGATTACCCCAAATCCGTACGTTAACATGAGATTGTGTGTTAGTGCCTATTCACACTAGGCACAGATTGGCTTATAGGGCACGTTTGGATATAGAGGTTTCCAAGACAACTACCAATATCTGGCGGGAAGCCTGAAAAGCTGCCCTATCCTTTCCGGCAGGGTGCAGACCCTGTCAAAGGCAACTTTCCTGCATTTACCTGGTATCGTACTCTCACCAGGCCGTCGTACAAACGTACAAACTTTGTTTTTACTCCCTGCTTTCACGCATCTACTTTTGCAACTACGAAGGCTGCCTGTCTGTTGCATGTAAAAGTGCAACCTTGCGGGAACAACCTTAGATATAAAAACAACTCGAGCTGTTGTACTAATGAAGAAATTTCACCCGTTGAAGTGTTAGATTGGCTTTCTCGTTGTATTCCATAGCTTACAGTTGTCCAAGACAGTACTTACAGGTATTGTTTAGCAGCACCCGAGCTGCTATTAAAATATGTCCTCTCTTGTGTTGTCGGCGCTACTATCCAGGTTCAGCCATCATCGCCGGTCGAGGAAGAGTTTGAGGAAACGGTCATCGTTCTGAACAAGAAGCCGGGCAAGGGTCTGGGATTCAGTATTGCTGGTGGAATCGACAACCAACACAGGCCGAATGACAATCGGGTGTACTGTACCAAGGTCTTGCCGAACGGCGTCGCAAAGGAGGATGGCCGTCTTAGGTGAGGAATCACATAGTTTCTAAGAGTGAGTGATGATGCATCTGTTCTTGGCTCGTTTCTCCAGCACGGGAGTTGTCTAGTCAATGAACTGTGGTTGGATTGGGCTACCTTTGGCTAGTTTCAGCCCGGTCATCTAAATGTTGTCTATTTAATTTTTTTTAAACATTTAGGTGGTGTGTGTGTGTGTGTGTGTGTGTGTGTGTGTGTGTTGGGGGGGGGGGGGGGGGTATGGAAATTACCATTTGCGTTTACAGAGTCAATTATCCAGACAATCCGGATACCCGGACACATTTTTCTCGGTCCCTAACCAAAAGTATCTGCATAAGTGCTGTGCAACTGTAGTCTGCTGTTGCCATCAGAGTAGATAGCATTGTGTGTGTGTGTGTGTGTGTGTGTGTGTGTGTGTGTGTGTGTGTGTGTGTGTGCGTGCGTGCGTGCGTGCGTGCGTGCGTGCGTGCGTGCGTGCGTGCGTGCGTGCGTGCGTGTGTGAACGTGTGTGTGAACGTGTGTGTGTGTGTGTGTGTGAACGTGTGTGTGTGAACGTGTGTGTGTGTGTGTGCGTGTGTGTGTGTGTGTGTGAACGTGTGTGTGTGTGTGTGAACGTGTGTGTGTGTGTGAACGTGTGTGTGTGTGTGAACGTGTGTGTATATGTGTGTGTGTATTTGTTCTCATGTTCGCTCACTGTGTGACATGCATGCATGGTTGTGTTGGTGGCGGTGCAGAGCCGATGACATTATTTTGCAAGTGAACGACACCGTGCTGGAACTAGTGAAACATTCTGACGCTGTACAGGCACTGAAGGATTCAACCAACACTGTCGTACTGGTAAGTGTCAACTCTGGTCTGAATCATGTGCGGCTGCTGTGTGTATGCATGCATTTGATTGAATAAGGTTCATTGAAGGATTGACTGGATAGCTATAGAGGGGCGTTTCTATGAGCCGGAAGGGGGGGGGGGGGGGGAGGAGGAGTTGTGGGTATGTGTGCCTACTTGCATAAGCAGTTCTATGTAATCAAGTGGCTTGGTTTGATACTATGTCATGTGCCTACACACATTTCTGCATGAACTTCAATGTGTGCATGTGTTTGGCCATTTCACCAAGGATACTCTAGCCTTCTTCATGTACTACATTCCCTCTAATAAGTACATGTATGTGGCCATATGTGTACAGTACTTGAAACTTGTAAGTTTTCTATCGAACAAGACAGGTGTACTTTTATCAGAAACTGCCGCCCTTCCAGGTGTACTTTTATCAGAGACTGCCGTACTTCTCTTTTCTGTATGCATATGTACATGTATGCCATGTGCCCGTAGTGGAGGTGTGTCCTTAGTAGAGGCATACCCTTATCAGAGAAAGTACGGTTTTTCCTTATATCATCATGTGTGTGTATCGTGTGTGTATCGTGTGTGTATGTGTGTGTGTGTGTGTGTGTGTGTGTGTGTGTGTGTGTGTGTGTGTGTGTGTGTGTGTGTGTGTGTGTGTGTGTGTCGACAGCGCATCCGGAGGCCGCGTGGCGGAGTAGCTTCACCTGGCCACGATTCTCCTGACCATGTTGCGGTGGCCGTCGTTTCCTCGCCCGAACAGAAATCTCCTGCGGGAGTTAGTCCTGTGCCTGTCATGTCGCCTGGACGACAGACACCACCCTCACGGGTGAAGGTGATCGTCCTGGAGAAGGGCTCCAGAGGTAAGAGACTGTGATATGCGTGTGTGACTATCAGATGGATATGTGAATCGTTCAGGACAGGGATCGGCGGGGATGTGAGAACAAGGGCGAAGTGTTGATAGCAACAGATTCGCAGCTGAGTGGTGCGTGCTTGTAGTGTTCGCTCAGCCTGCACGATCAAGCTGCACACCTCGACTTGCTTCTGAATGCATGGCATTGATGTGTTGGAGGTTACCAGGAACGTGATCTGCAGCAGCCCCCCCCCCCCCCCCCCACCTTGTCCTGCATATTTGTGGTCTGCATGCGCCACTATGACGTGCAACACATTAATTTGCAAGTTCAAAATGCCCTGTCAGATGATGGGTGCGTGTACGATTGGCTATGATCTTCATTTGTGCTTCAGGTCTCGGTTTCAGCATTGCTGGCGGTATTGGAAATCAGCATGTGGAGGGTGACAATGGCATCTACGTTACAAAGGTTATTCCCGGTGGTGTTGCGGAGGTTGAAGGCTCTTTGCTGGCCAATGACAAGCTGCTTAAGGTAAAATGCATTTCGGTGGAGATGTCATCTACCCGAGTGGTTGTCCTGTATTTAAGCGTTGTCTGGCGTTTTCCTCAACTCGGACTACTTGTATAACCAAGAGTAACGCTAGTCCCACATACCGGTACTAGTAGCAGTCATGATGGTACTAGTAGCAGTCATGATGGTACTAGTAGCAGTCATGATGGTACTAGGACAAAGGATTTACTACTTGTGCTGTGTGGTGAATGTGTGTTGTTTGCCAGGTGAACGACACTGCCCTTCACGACGTCACTCATGCCGAGGCCGTTCAATCTCTTCAGAGAGCGTCCGGCACGACGTATCTAACCGTGGAAAAGCCCGACGGGGATCCGCTCAACTTTGTCACCCCTTCTTCTCCAGGTGTTGCATCTCCTGTAAGTAGCCTCACTTGAACATGAGCAGTAGAGTGTAGAAGTGAATGCACGTATATAAATGTATTGCCCAGCATAAGATAACGAGTCCGAAGGCGAATCATTGGTAGCAGAAAGGTAATGCGTTCCGGCCACTGTGGAGGTCTGCCCTCTTTGGTAGACAACCCCGGGGGTTTCAAATTCTTTGTCTTATATTCGAGTAGTATCTACTTTAAGTACTATCCGGACTTGTATGTACGCACTTCAGGCGTCAGGGGATTTTGGATCGTTGTCTACTATTGACGTTGGTCTTGTAACCAATGTCGTACTAATGAGGGTAGACCTGTAGAAGAAAATAATGAATGTTGTTAGTTTGGGGTTTGTTTTGCTACCTACTCTTACACAAGTTCACTCACTTTACTTGTTGCTCGTGCAGGCTCGTCAGCCTGGCTCACCGGGACATCCAAGGTATGTACATCATGTATGCGGCAGCATCTGGTAATGTCAACAGTAACGTGAAAAGCTTCGGTATGACTGCCTGATTGCCCAGTGCTCTTCTCCGAATGTTTCATTCCACCTGAGGGAATATAAAGTTTTAGTGTCCACACAGTACCTACGTTACTGATGTTGAGCATGCTACACAATGCATCATCTACATGACTGTATTGACAATCACCCAATCTGCGGACAATCGTATGGCCACACACAACTCTCGATATCGTGGAGAAATCCTCCAAGAGACTGCCCCGTCTTTTTTCTTCCTTTTTATTTTATTTTATTTATAACAACATGTGACACAGAGGTCTAGCCAGGATTTTATGCCAGCCGGCCAACGTTCTAGTGAAAATGCATCGTTCTGGGGGCACAGCCCCCAGACCCCCGCCATCAGTCACATATCCACACAGACACACACACACCACTACAAATCTTTCATTGCAGCTTGCATCTCATTTCGCTTCGTCCAGTTATGGACATTCATCAGGCAGTTGTGACAATGTGATTATAGGTAAATTAACAAAATATGAAAAAAGAAGCAAACAGCTACATGAGCATGGATCATGTGTTCACCAACGTCATGTCTGCAGTGTACATTGGTCATCTGACAAGACCCAGCCTAGCCACGAATGGCCCACGATATGACAGTCCAGAGTCTGTAGCTGTCAGTGTCACAGCTATGTACACCACCGGAAGCAGCTCGGAACCATGACCCGACCTGTTACATTTTACCAGTCCTGGAGATGTCCTAGATAGGACATCACGGAACCCAGCATGCCCCAGCATACATACTATGCTGTTCCCATAGTAATCGTGACACGCGACTCAAAACTTTGTGTCGCGTCCGAGGAAGATGAACATGTCGCACTCAAAACAAACGCGACGAAGGCCTTTCGTCTCAAAAGTAATAGTTGTCGTTCTCCTGGCGGCTTGCCTCAAGCGAGTCGAGATTCGTATTTTGCCTCTTGCCTTCACGAATTTTGTTTTCCTCGTTGTGGAGTACGCCTGGACAAAGGAACTGGCAAGCGAATCGTTTTGGTCGCATTGAAAATTGCAAGTGCACAAGAGGATTGGCGAAGCAATTTGTGTTCGCACTTTCAGCAGAGCAGTAGCTGCTGCTGCGATAAAGTTTTTACTTTCGCCATTGGTTTCAGGCAGCAGAACGATCTGGCTGAAAGCGATGGCGATACGTCCATGACCACCACGTCCTGGGTTGATATCCAAGAAAGACCGTCCAAGGTCCAGTTTTAGCCAAGAGCTGTCGTATCCAAGAAATCAAAAACGCCAACAGCAAGCTTTGGCCAAATAATATCTTCCAGGCAGTAATTTACGGGCCTAGCGCCTGCTGCCTCGTCTTCCTCCTCTGCATGGCCAGGTTTGGGGCGAAATGAACGCACTGGGCGCAAAGAAACATTCCAAAGGCAAAACATTCAAAAGTAGAACCAATCGTTTCCAAAGAAGCGCCGCGTGGCTACGAGAAACCCCACGTGAAATCCCCAAACGAAAACGGCCGTTCGGTCGGGTATTCGATGGCGAATCGAATTTACTCTACCTCAATCCCCGCCAATGTCTGATATTCTCCGCCTATTCCCTCCAACTTGACCAATTCGGAAAGAAATCCATCGCCATTACGATTGTGCATCCTCCACATACATTCAGAAATGCTCATGCAGCACTTCTTTTCATCGCGTGTGCGCGACCGACGCTTCCATGACAGACGCTTCCATGACAACTCTGGGACAGGTAACCAATCAGACTCATTCAGAGTGCGATGTCCTAGATAGGACATCTCCCCCCCCCCCCCCCCAACTGTTTTACTGACGTACTCAAGTGCATACTCAAGTGCATTTGAGCTTGAGTAGCCAGTGCTACGTACTGTACTGTACTGCAGTACTGTACTGCACTGTACTAGGATATGGGGGTTGTACTCGTGCAGTGCACTACAGTCTACATGTGTGACCTCAAGTGGGTGACTGCAGCCGGCCAAAGCCAGCTTTGGCTAGGTCACTGTCAGACATTATGGCAATCCCTCTAGTTCAAATGTATGTTATGTGCTTCGGGCCTGCCCGGATCTCTTCTCAATTCCTGAGATAAGAATTGCACTTAGTATGTTTGTTGTCTGATGCTTGTTTTTTTTCTTCAGCGACGCCCGCAAGGTTACGCTACAGAAGGGAGACAAGGGCCTAGGATTCAATATTGTAGGCGGAGAAGGAGGCGAAGGAATCTACATCAGCTTCATTCTGGCTGGTGGCGTGGCGGACCTGAGTGGGCAGCTGAAGAGAGGAGATCAAATTCTGGAGGTAGGTACAGTTTGAGTAGGCAGGCTACTTGTGAATATACTGCTCGTGTGGAGAATTGGAGCCAACATGGCTTCCCTGTCTGGTCATGTGTGAAGTGACCCTGTACGTGTGAGCATGTGCATCATTACATGCATTTCTCGTATCCCCCTTGATCGTCTCGAAATTGGCCGGTTTGATGGATCGATGACTACCTACCGAAAAGTAACGTTAGCGTTACAAGTGTACAGCTACTAATAATCAATGCCACTCATTGTGCATTGTTCGCCCAACATGCATATGTGTTGCTCTGCAGGTGAACAGCACAAATCTCACAGATGCTAGTCACGAGTCGGCAGCTCAGGCATTGAAGGGCAGTGGTAAAACAGTGGGCCTGGTCGTGGCGTATCGCCCCGAAGGTGAGGTCAATCGGTGTTCACCTCCATGGGATTCTAATAATAGCTATGATGTCTTGCTATGGAATCCTGTCAGTGTTGGACCTGAGTGACTGGTAAAGTGAGACTGATGGCTGGCAGTACACTTGTGACTATCACTGAATTCAATTTTGGGTCGAACCTTTTTTTAACAAGAAAGGTAGCTGTTTGCTACACTTTAGCTAGGCTTTTCCCGCCAAATTGACTTGCCCTTCTTTCAATACCAAGCATTCAAGACAATGCCGGGAGGAAAGTGGAAGGACTTTCTCCTAAGCTACTCCCCTGTAATACAGTGTATGTCCAGTGATGTAGAGTGCTGCCGGACCAGAAGGATCTGACCCTACGATTGAGGGAACTGTGCATGCAGCGAATAGCATGGTGGACACTTGACCTGACCTGGGTTGCACCGTCAGGCGAAATTACTGGTCAGTCGGCGACACCCATTTTTCACAAAAATTTGCGTTTCACCTGTATGGGTGTACTCAATTCTCATCCTGAGCACGTTTTTTTCTTTCTTTTTTCAGCTCCAGTATAGCTGTATTTTTCATTGCAAAGCCGTCCTCGATTGTTGTGTTCGTTGTTCAAACGAAGTGGACATTCAATCAGGAGGGCAAAGGACATAGCAGCCTGATTGGAGTTTCTCGTGGCATAGGACGGCCACACAGAGACACTTTGGGATTTTCTGAATATAAAATACCGTACGCACAATGCTGAGATCAATTTGTGCGATATCAAATTGTTTGTGATCTACCACATCGAGCAGAACGGGATCCAAACACAAGCTTACCGACGGTTAGGCTGCCGACCTGACTGTACAAATGATCCCTGGCTTCATCAGACGCCAGAAGTCGGACACCATGTCCTTTGCCGCGACGTCCATCTCCAAAAAGAACTCCATCTTCGTCGTGAAAAGGCTTGAAATACTCAATATTCAACCGAGATTCGCGGTCTCACCCTTTCTTAGATCGAATCATTTGTTGTTGTAGCAGTTGCAGGGCAGATCCCCGCCACTACTTCAACAGAAGATGGCTCCAAAGCATGCCTGGAACAAGCCATATCGAGGTTGCAAGCCACCCCTCTCAGCACTTTTTTTGAAGAAATTCGAAATTTCAATGGTGGAAGATATACTATGAAGAGAATTTCAAAAAGTATGTTTCGCGGAGCTATCGCTCAACCTACGTCATTCAAACTTTGCAGGATGGTTCAGACGTACATGCTAGGCATGGAACCACAGAAGATGTTATCATAGCTGACACACAGAGTCACACACACAGCAGATTCGTGTGCACAGATACTAAATTAGTGGACTTCGTCATCTTCTTCCCGCTGATCTCAAATGTACTATGACGTGCTATTTCGCCTGACGAGCTGCAGGGCGTCAAGGACTGCTTGGCTCGGGGGTGCAGCTAATGTGTCAGTGAATGAATTTCACCTGCCAGCATTACTAGTGACTTGCCTTTGGACATGAAACACCATCTTGGCTCTGATGATTCTGGTTTGTACTGCTGTGCTGCTAAAAATAAAAAATTAATAAATTCGACGGGTGTACTGCTGGTGTAAATTAATGCTATTGCCTTGTTCAGAGTACGGACGATTTGAGCAGCGCCTCCAGGAGCTCAGGGAGAAGGCATCGCAGAATGCAGCTGGTGCAGCACGCACTTCTCCTACGAAGCAGCGTAGCTCTCATGTCCGGTGAGATCAGGGCTGCTGGTGTCCAAGTAGCAGGTCTTAGAGCATTCAAAGCTGGTACTTTTGCACAACTTGCTGTGACAGTGAGTGTGTTCGATTATGCACGCGAATCGATTCACGAATCGATTCGCGCTATTCACATCACCCCATGTGAATAGAGTGAATGGGTTCTGAATCGATTCCACGGCTCATAACATAAAAATCGAACGACTTGAATGCATGCGAATCGATTCATGAATCGATTCAAGTGCATAATCGAACACAGCCACTGTTGTCTTGGAGTGAAACAGGGACTTGCTGAGATCTTTGCCAGTGCACTCAATCCCCTGCTTGTAATCTAGGAAGAGTTTGTTTGATGTTGATGGCGGTGTTATTCTTCTCCACCCACTTCTGCGCTTCTGTGCACCGCTCCTTCACTCATGCCTGCGGTTGTGTGTGTGTGTGTGTGTGTGTGTGTGTGTGTGTGTTTGTCTGCACAGGGCCTTGTTTGACTATGATAAGAATGTAGACATTGGGTGTGGACAAGGGGAAGGACTCAGCTTCCGCCACGGTGATATCCTCTACTTGCTCAATGCCGGAGAGGGTGAATGGTGGACGGCTAGGCGCGTCAACCCCGAGACGGGAGAGCCCGAAGGACAGACTGGAGCCGTTCCAAGCCGAAAGAGGTGATGAAACTGTCTTGCTGTGAGCAAATGTCTGATGTGCATGTAGACAGGCCAATGTCTATCTGCTCGCCGAGCTACAGACAGAGTTGTACGTCTCACTTCCTTGGTACTTTTCAATAGCACAATTTTGGTGTCAGCGTATAAGCCCATGCCCGCGTAGGTCGTATGTACTCACCATCCGGTATTTTCGCCATACTATACCTGCGATACATTGACTACTTGCGTGCATGTACTCTGGGGAATTATGAGGCGGAGTGGGTACCTGTTAGAAATACAGTAAGAACTACTTGCTGCTACTGTTGGGGGATAGCTGATCAGCGGACATGACTTTCTTACTCCATGTTGCAGGGTTGAGAAGAAAGAGCGCCAGAAGAACAAGGGCAAGAAGTTCCGCGGTGGTGGCGGGTCATCAACTGCCGGTGACGACAAAACAGTAAGTCCATGTACTAGTAGGTACATCGGAGGTGCACTCTAAGTCTTTCACCCTTTCAATTCGAGAGGGGACGCATGGGCCTTGTAAATCAGTAGCAATATTGTTGTAGTGTGCACAGCTTCTCATTTGTTGGTTTCCGCTTGCAACGCCTCTGCGTGAATGTACGTTACCACGTTAGAATTGTGTTGTATAATATGCACCCCTAGACCCTGCGCTCCATTGTACATCTGTCACGTAGTGGATAGCCAGCTGAATGACTCACTGGTCCAATCTTCTTTCACAACTACAAACTCCTGTCCGCGTTCTCTGTAACATCTAAGTTCTGGTATCATGTTGGTTGGTTCGTTTAGGACCCTGCACCATCCAGTGGAAGTGGTGTCAAGCGAAAGAGAAGCTTCATCTTCTCCAAGCGTCTGCCGTTCTTCAAGAAGCAGGAAAAAGAAAACAAGAAGGCCGAAGGAGGTATGTAGCTTTTCATCTAGCTTGCGTGCTGTATATTGTCTCTTTTGTGATCTTGCGTCTGAGAATCACATCCTGGCAATTGGAAGGAAGCCGTGTGTTGTCGCTGCACAGTGAGTTCAAGTCTATGAACAGTTGTGTCGTAGCATTTCCTATGTCTGTATTTCTCCAGTGGTGAGGTAGCGTGCCAAAGAAGGTGAACCGTTCTGTGCTGGAAAGCTCTTTTTTAAACCAGTTACCTATTCTTCTTTGACAGTGCCCCAGCCTGGTCATTCTTTGGCATCCTGTCCTTGGACGCACAAGGGCGTTGGCTGTTTGATTTGCGATATTAAATAAAATCTATGACAACGTCATGACGACAACAACAGCAACAACAGCAACAACAGCAGCAGCAGTAGCAGCAACAACACTGACTTACATTTACAATAATATTTGAGCATAAGTTATGAGGTTAGGATGGCTGTTATGTGACTTCTAAGAAATTCTTTTGGCTCCCCTAACTTGCATGTTTCTGATTTTATCGTGTGGGTATTGTAGATGGTGAGGAGCCTGTACTTAGCTATGAAGATGTGCGGATGGAGGAGATCAACTACAAGCGGCCCATCGTTATTCTCGGCCCGCTCAAGGACCGCATTAACGATGACCTTATTCAGGAATTCCCGGAGAAGTTTGGCAGCTGTGTGCCCCGTAAGTAGTACATGTGCCTCATCACTTCTTTGCTGGCGTTGTCGGTGATCTGCATCTGAAACAGACGGTTGGGTCTGCAGCACTGACGCGTAGCACAGTCCGAAACTTCTTTGGTGTAATACACCTGTTGGCCTAATGAATTCTTCACGACGTACTTATTCTCAGTCTCGAAGCCAGTCATTAGCCCCAGCAGTTCAATTTTCTACTTGGTCCGCCCAGCTAAAATTGGCACTTATCTTCTCACTTGGTTTTTTGGTGTTCTGCCTGTGCCACACGGCATGGAACCACCGATTCACCATCCGAACATGACCATCGACCATTGCATCCGACGACATGGCAGCACAAACCATCACAGAAGTTGCGATCGGTTCGTTTGAGTCTTTTTGACGGAGCTGCCGCCGACGAACACTTCCGTCAGCGCAAGAAAACACTGCAACCTCCGCTCGAGTCCGTAAAATAGGTCAGGATGTTCGCATTTCAGAGCGATGGAGAATACAGTTTCTGTCTACTTCCAGCTGTCTGATGGCAAGGATTGTTTACCCCGGGGAGGTTTAGAAAAGCTGAAAAAGCGCTTCGCGAGCTTGAATTTCAGTGCTTGCACAGTACAGCGCCTAGTGAAGGGCTATCACCAGCAAATCGCTGACGAAGAAACTGCAGCTCATGTCGATGTCTCCAGTAAGTGAGACCAATCCGGCGGACACACTTTGAAGCTCACAGAGGACAGGGCAAAGGAGCTAATCAAAGGAAACACCAAGTCCTGAGAGAAACACTCGTGCAAAGGACTTTCAGGAAACTAGCCAAAAAGCCTGGTGCACGGCGTTGTAGGTGCAGTACGCACAGGTGCTCCATCAAGCGGAAGCTATCACTGCGCTGCATGTACAAGCACCAGCGGCTCGCGTGGGTACGGGTGCTGATCAGCAAGTACGACAAGCGCAAGAGGCGATTTGAAAAAAAGGACACTGATATGGCGTTGCCTTTTTGTCTCAAACAAAGTCGCATTATTGCGACGAACGGGGATAACACTTACAGTCAACATGCGGGCAGTCTCACTCAGCTTCTGATGGGAAGGTGACAGGCACGCACTGTCTTTGAGCGTGATTCGAGACAAGGAGAAGTGGAACAAGCTATGAAACGACCCGTGCAGCAGCTGTCCGGATCGTACGTTTTGAGCTCTTCCTCCAGCGACGATAGTGGCGAGGATGTGTAACTTGCTTGAATTTTCGACTGAGTTGCTTACTGACATGTAAATAATCATGTATATAGCGCTTTGTGATCGTGGCTTGCTTCAAATATTAGTATTTCTTTCCTGAGACAAGTGTGAAGATAAGCGCCAATTTTAACTGGGCGGACCAAGTACATGTATGTGTGTGTGTGTATGTGTGTGCGTGTGCGCGCGTGTGTGTGTGTGAGAGTGTCATGTATGTGTGTGTCTGAAAGCTGATACTACTTGGTCCGCGTCAGCAATATTGTCGCTTATCTTTCGACAATTTGAACTTAGCCTTTGGACATGAACGCGTGCACTTGAAGTGATAAAACTTGGTACGATGGACGGTAAGGTATAGAATGACAACTAGCTGTGAGGAATTTATGGTCCAAGGAAGGGTTCCTACTTTTTTTTGGTTCTCCTCGTCGCTGCTCTGGGCGCTGGTGACAAACATTTTTGCTCGGGATCGACTCTATTGCTTTTGCAAGCTCATCTCTCTTCCTCTCCGCTGCCTGGCTATTTTCTAAAGACAAGTCGATCGTGACGGTCGCCTTCTCTATAGGACTTCGCATGGGCGGCACGACAGCCTGTGTGGTTCGAATCAGACGCCGTTCTTTGAAATATTTTATTTAGAACAACGACGACGACGACGCGTACAGTACTTGCAAATCTCCACGATGCGCTGGATACTCCGAGCGTTGAGCTGGAGGTAAGGGAGCTGCGATCTCAGCTTGACGAGCGATCCCTGAGGTGAGCGGTCTCGGCCGTTCCGCAAAATGGAGCTGATTCCGAGTAACCTATTACTTTCTTGTGGCTTGCGCTGCTCTTGCCTGCACAGCGTAACAAGATAATCTATTTTGATACGGCGCTGTATCAATCAGAATCACCCACCCGTCGCTCTCGAAATCCACTCGAACTCTAGCTAGACCTTTCAAGTACTAGTAACCTAACTTGCTAACCAAAATTGCGATGAAATGGGCTGACAAGTAAGCTTTGGCGACATATAAACAAAGCTGAAAGATAAGCGACAATATCGCTGACGCGGACCAAGTATCAAGTTGTGCACAAGATGATGTGGCTGAGCAGCACACGTTGCGGAACGAGAGCCAACTATTGGCTGCAAATGAGCGCATATGTGCACAACAATGTTTGCCACGTCCGAAGATCACACACGCGACAGTAGCATGCATAAATGTGCAGTCTTTGTGGAAAAAAGCTATCACACCCTTTATATAATGTGGACACACAACGTGTCACTTCCCCGTCGCTACCAGCAATGGCTGATCATACTCTCCGCTGCAGTGTGCTATCAGGATCACATACCAGGCATGCATTCCTCAGTGTACTCAGTGCCTTCGACCTAACCCACCTTCTGGTGACGAGGCAAGTTGGCAGCGCGAGAGCACATGTATAGAGAGTTGCATTCATCGGGTGAACAGAACACCCACATTGGTTTTATCTGGAAATCATAACCCCTGACTGGTACTGAAGTTCTACAGCATGACCTGGTTGTAAAGTAACTGGTGGTGTTAGTGGACAGTATACTATAGCGTAACTTGCAGTTCCCTGGTCCTTTTTCTTTCCTATAAGGCCATAATTTTTTATATCTATGTTTCGCGTCAGGTGAAAAAAATAAAAAAGTTGAAAAGAAAAAAGGCTCATCAGAGGTGTATAGCACGGTACATAGCACAATAGCTCGTGCATGGTGTACATTCGAAAGAAAAATCGTACATCGAAGCACAAAATCTGGGTTATCAGCATGAGTAAATATTTACTTTGGACAGAGGAGGCAACCGTTCGTGCCCATGCTTCCTGGATTATTGGTACATGTACTCAGACTGCGGCGGTGCAAAGAGCTCAGGAACGACGCATCCTCCCAGCTTGAGGCGATCGATGCGGTCTGGTATAAGCTCATAGAATATTGCTCGCAGATGCCGAACAAACGATTTACCAACGCCGGCATCGAGGCCATTTCTGAATCCCAGCTTTGCCGTATGCAACCAGTCCACACTGAGTGATGACTTGCGCGATCGTACACTCACTGTGCATGTTCGTGTTTTTTTTATTTATTTCCGAAAAAAATCAAAACGTATGCGTGCGGACGACGCGAAACATAGATATAAAAAATGATGGCCTAAAACCATCCTTGGCTCTCCATCAGAGTCATTCCTGAGAGGTCTTTGTGTTTTCTATAAATTGTACTTGCAGATACGACTAGAAACCGGAGAGATTACGAAGTGGATGGACGCGACTACCATTTTGTTGAATCTCGGGAGCAGATGGAGCGCGATATTCAGAACCATTTGTTCATCGAAGCCGGCCAGTACAATGATAACCTGTACGGTACTAGTGTGGCGGCCGTGAAGGAAGTTGCCATCAACGTAAGTCCACGTCGCACGCGGTGGTGTGCTCTCCCTCGGTTTGTGTGCAAAACCATCAGCATTCTGTTGCACGCACGTTGTGAACCTACTGCTAGTGGTATGGCCATTTTTTGACCGGTGTTCTGAATAAAGCCCACGGGACTACAGTGAAGTAGGACGGTGTAAAACGGAAGGTTTCAGTGGGGAAAGTCTCTTAGAGATGTCTAAAACAGCCAGGTTTTGCCGAGAGTCTAGACAGTGCAGTGCATCCTTAATCGTGGAATACAAGATCTCGAGTCGATTCAGTGAACAGAGGGCGGACACGGGGCATAGTACTCTGCACCTGCAGTGGTGATTGTAAAGCAAGTGTTCCCTGGACCATAGCTTAGTGGTAGAGCTTTGCTGGCCAAAAGCAAGGGTCCCTGGTTCGAATTCTGGCGGTGGTGGTGGTGGCCAAAACAATTTTGTCAGACTTTTTCCCGTTTCAACTGCTCAAACTTATGATCAGTGGTGCTCTGTACCTTGTGTTTCTTGACTGATGTGCATAGGAGCAAAAGCACTGTGTACTGGATGTGAGTGGCTATGCCATTCGGCGACTGCAAGTTGCCTCGCTACAACCAATCGCCATCTTCCTCAAGCCAGGATCTGCCGATGCTATTCTGTGAGTTTTGTTTGAAGTCTCCAACAATTTTCACCCGAAAGCACACACTAATTAACCTGTGCACATCCACTGGAAAATGCATGGTATTGGCGTCTTCTTCCTCCTTGTGCCCGATAACGATCTGACGGGAGAAGTCCCCATGTGTCAGCCAATTCATGTGGAAGCATTAATAAGGCAGAGAAACGAGGATGAGGGGAAGTCCTTTGGAAATTTCCTTCACCCGTTCACAGTGGTTCTGCATGTGCGTTTCCAGCAGAAAGACGTACACGCGTGTACAATAGTGCTATGGTAGGAGCTGTTGGGTTGTGCTTCCATGCCACCTATGAAAGTTTTGCATTGCAATGTCTGTATCAACCCTCCGTGTGCTATGTTGCCCTGACAGCAACCAAGCCCGTCGGATTAAGCCAGAGCAAGCCCAGAAGACATACGAGAGAGCACTGAAACTCGGCGAGGAGTTTGCTGAATACTTCACAGGTGAGAGAGCTCGGAAGCTGCAGACCGTGCTGGTTGTCATGACTGCGCAGTCATGAACTTACTACTTCCCACTTTTCCCACGTCGTGCATTATTGTACACATTTCGCGTATGCATGCTTTGACCCCTACTATCTCTTACGTGACTTAGTTACAGCCATATCTGTTGTAAGTTCAAACGGGAGTTCAAACTCTCGCTCCTTTTGGACGCCTTACGTCATAATCGTTTACCGTGTTTTTAGAGCGGAGAACAGTTTTTCTTCTTGGTCTAGTTTTCTGTTTTTTGGTATGGAAGTTGTGTCCGGTTAGACCTTCTTCTCGTTACAGTGTTTTCGATAATAGCACTTGATATGATGAGTTTTTGATGTTCTCACGACGGAGACGAGGGACTGTGATCACAGCCACCGTTGAACTGCCCTGGAGTGCAGTAGTAATAGTATTTTAGACCCCCTTATTTTCCCTCGTTTATGTCCGTTCGTGACACTGGTCTCGGGCATAAGGCTGCTGGATGGGATGGATTGCTGTAGTGGGCTGATGATGAGCTGCCGATCGGGCATTATTATTTATAAGCGACCCATATAATAAGGAGAGGAACTTTCGGTTGCTATTATGAGCATCACGTTTACGAGTATCTGGAAAGTGTCTAGTCACATTCAAGACGCTGGTGTGATGAAAATACACCCACACACCCACGAAAAACGCATAATGGCAACAGTATGCAGGCCAGCTTTTTGGAGAATGGCTTGGCTAAGATAGATACGTCGTGACGCTTTATTGAGGAAATTACATGAACATGTTCCACTTTGTGCATTGCATTGATCCACTGGGGTGCTTGCTATCCTGAGACAAGAATACGAGTGGCAGGGGAAGCTCAGTACGATGGGCGATGGCTGTGATGCTGCGGATCGTACCCAGCCGGGGACGGGGTGGTATGGAGTAAATATGTGCTGCATGGACTGACATTCGTGTGTGTGTGCGCGCGCGCGTGCATGTGTGTGCGTGTGTGCACGTGCGTGCGTGTGTGCAAATGTTGCTTGATCTTTGCAGCCATCGTTGAGCCTGGCTCGCCCGAAGACATGTACGCCAATGTCAAGCGAGTTGTCCGCCAGCATGGAAACAACAGGATATGGGTGCCGACGCGCGAGCGATAAAGATGGCATCTCGAACAGCATTGTAACTGAGGCTATGCCATTATGCTGAAGTCAAATTTAATTCAAACAACACTATGACCTGCTTCCCACCGGAGCTTTATCTGCCATCGACGACTTTCTGAGCAGCACTAGCACCACATGCATCTCATTTGGTGTGAGAAGACTGGGTGGAGACATGCATGATGCGTGCAGGGTCACCGCTCAGAGGACAAACACAGCTAGAGTAGAGAGCCCTGCATTTTCCCTGACCAGTCCCCCCGATCGTCATTTTTTTCGTTTAGATTACTGCAAACACGGCTGAGAGCAAAGTTAGCGATCACACACGTGCACACACACACACACACACACACACACACACACACACACACACACACACACACACACACACACACACACACACATCTCTTTATACGATCCCATGAAGCTGCAACACCCAGGATTCTTGTTACTCAACGGCCCAGTCACTGTCTTACTTCACATCGAGCACACATGCTTGTGTTGTACTGTCTATTTTCTGCCCTAGGATACACAACCTGGGGTGGTGTGCATTAGTTGTTGACAAATACCTCAGGTCAAGCTCGGCTCTGCTGTATATGTTTTTGATCTACTTTTCGTTCTTGTTTTCCTGCCTTGCTGTTTTGTTTTGTGCACACTGGCATGTTTCATATATCGAGAACACCTTGTTTTGCTCCTGAAATTTGTTCTCAACTTGTTTTTTGTTGTATAGACGTGCACCCTTGTTTAATGGTGTGAGGCACACTCTGAATAATTTGTCTGCGACACAAGTGTTAGTGTTGGGCATTGCTGGCTATGCTTGCTTCTGCTGACTTGTCAACATGTGTGACCCTGGTGTGTATGTACGGCACTATAGGTCATTCGTGTTTTCCGTGGTTGAGATAGTTCTCCTCCGGAAGACGGGACAGTGTGCATGCGCGCACTGTGTATGTGAGGTGAGTGTGGTGTGTGTGTGTGTGTGTGTGTGTGTGTGTGTGTGTGTGTGTGTGTGTGTGTGTGTGTGTGTGTGTGTACAAGTATGTGTGTGTGTGTGTGTGTGTGTGTGTGTGTGTGTGTGTGTGTGTGTGTGTGTGTGTGTGTGTGTGTGTGTGTGTGCACCTTGTCCTCACCCACTTATTGAGGTGTGGTGAGCCCATAAGTGGGATCATTTTCAAGTCCACCTAGAGTTTTGGGGATTTTAGGGGGTGTTGGCTGTTGGGTGGTTCAATAGCTAATTGAGTCATCTTTCCAAGATTCCTTTTGAGTCTCTCTCCCCTCTCCCGGGGAGACCCACGTGACCAGTTTTGGCAGTGAGCAACACATAATGTGTGTGTGTGTGCACGCGCATGTTGCCATGGCGCCAGGCTGTTTAAATGTTTGACAGCCTTGTCTGTGGAACAGAGTTACAGTCAGACCTCGCATAACCGCACACATCTGCTTTCCACAAAAATATCCGGATAGGCGAGGGAACCGGATAACCGAACACCGTTTATGTTGGATGCATCACGTATGCTGTAAATCGGTAACCAACGATTTTCTTCCGGATGGCGAGGGATCCGGATAAGCGAGGACCGGATAAGCGAAGTGGTCTGACTGTACATCACTTTCCAACCTTGTCCCTGTAACGGTGTTGCATCATGGTCTACAAGTGCATGTGACCATGGTGACCAGTGCATCATGGTCTACAAGTGCATGTGACCATGGTGACCAGTGCATCATGGTCTACAAGTGCATGTGAACATGGTGACCAGTGCATCATGGTCTACAAGTGCATGTGACCATGGTGACCAGTGCATCATGGTCTACAAGTGCATGTGACCATGGTGACCAGTGCATCATGGTCTACAAGTGCATGTGACCATGGTGACCAGTGCATCATGGTCTACAAGTGCATGTGACCATGGTGACCAGTGCATCATGGTCTACAAGTGCACGTGACCATGGTGACCAGTCAATCATCGTCTACAAGTGCATGTGAACATGGTGACCAGTGCATCATGGTCTACAAGTGCATGTGAACATGGTGACCAGTGCATCATGGTCTACAAGTGCATGTGAACATGGTGACCAGTCAAGGAAATAAAAGGCCAAACAAATGTATGCCCAGAAGCCGTGGTGTGGTTTTACAAGGTTTTCATGGCAGTTGCTCCATGCATTTTCTTGACCACAGAAAATGTGTCATAGGCTTTAGGGAGCATCTCAAAAGTTTGTTCGCATTTTATTTGCAAACGTAACGCATTTCGAATAGACTTTACCCCCCCCCCCCCCCCCTCTATTCGAAAGTCTTATCGCATGTTTTCTGATAACAGCTGTACAATGTCATGTAGTATTGTACTGCTGTAAAAGCTGGCCAGGTACTAGTACACCATGTACACGGTTTGATCAGGCTGGCCTGGTGTGACATTTTGACACCTCTGAGTAGCCTGCACGCATGCAGTGCAGCTAGGGTTAGCTGATCTGCAAACACAGGTAGGTCCACGGCCGGCTCCACGCCTAAACACACTCATTTGCTGAAGCGATCTAGCACATGCACAGCACAGTACAGTCAGACCTCGCTTAACCGCACACATCTGTTTTCCACAAAAATATCCGGATAGGCGAGGGAACCGGATAACTGAACACACATACTGTATATGCATGTGGCATGTCAAAAGCAGTGACATCGTACATACATGTAGATGGGTCCTATGCAGTACAACTAGGGTGCACAGTATGTAGAACAAGCGAGAAAGATGACAAGTGCATGCAACTGAGTGCTGTCCACATGTACCCAGCAAGTCAAGGACCTCATTTGCCTGTACAACTCCCTGATTCTAGCTTCTGCAAGCCACATGCAACCGGATACGACGAAGCTTTTTGTACACATTTTAACCAGTCTGTACACAAAATCATGCACCGGTATGCGGATCGCGAGGTCCGGTTATGTTGTATACATAACATATGCTGCACATCGGTAACCAGCGATTTTCTTCCGGATGGCGAGGGATCCGGATAAGCGAGGTCTGACTGTAGTAGACGTCAGTATTGTACACTTCCAGAAAATGTGCGAACTGTCATTTTTCTATTCGAAAAGGGCGTTACCCCCCCCCCCCCACCCCGTTTTGAAATGCGTTACGTTAAGAAAAAAATGCGAATTTATGAGCTGCTCCCAATACTTTGAAATCCTCAACTTTGTGGAAAACTATTCAGGAAGTTAGGCAATGTTGTTCAGCCTTTCTGATTGAGTTTCAACACTACATGTACTGACTCCCTTTTGAGGGATGACCATCAACAGTCCAGTGCAAAGGAGAGTCGTGGCGAGTGGTATCCATAGTGCACTCCTGACTCAAGAATGTCCTCACAACTGAACTGTGTGACATGTACAAATAATTGCTTGTACCCGTTTGAAAAGTAAGAACATAATAAGACAATAGGCAGTTCTGGTAGCAGTTTCGACAGCATAGTGCGGGCATCAGCGGAAAAAGAAAAAAGAAGGCAAAAGCAAGGCAATTTTATAAACGTGTGTTTTGTGAGCAAGTTGTTTATGGAAGTTAGAATTTGTAGAGTTACTGTTGTTGCGTTGAGTTTCCATTCCATGTTCCCATGTCATCGTCCTCATCCCCACCGTCATTCGGTTTGAAGCGGTTTACTCGACCCTCTTTCGAAACGCCAAATGAAGACCTGAGCAAAGTACAAGAAGTAAAGTGCCAACAGACACCGCTGTTTAGACTCTGTGCTGGTTCTTTCACCTTGGTGCACCCGCTGCATGCCATGGCGGACACGAACACTCTCTTGCCTTACTCCATACTGACCATAGGACTTGGATGGAAATACATTTTAGTCAGACGTCCATACGTTCAACTGGGGCAAGTGATATCCGACCCTAGTTTCGACCCTAGTTTCCTGTGCCTGAACAAGTACAGTGAGTCTCATGCGTGCAAAAGCCCCGTTCTAAACATGTAGTCGTGCATGGACTTACTCTTGTCGGTCTGTTCATCTCCTGTTCAATGACACACAAGTGTACATAAACAATACTGCAGCCCCTCGCAATGTACGTGTGCACATCAAGTACTACTAGTAAATACCGGTAGTCTAGTATGCAGGTGAAAATATGATTCGCCTACCCTGTCTCAGGTCCTCTCCCTCGCCGTTGCCGTGCTTCAGCCGCATCACCGGACGATGATGCCTGCGGCATGGGCTGTGACGCCGCTTGGCTGCCTGATGGCGCGGGTGTGGACGGCGAAGAGGAAGATGCAGCCGACCCGGTAAGCCACTGCCAGATGGCCTGCAGCAGTAGCAGCGGGATCATGATGATCTTCCACACGCCAGAGTCGGGAGACAGTGCCGTGGCAGCACCAGCACCTGAACCACCTCTGCGCTGCTTTCCGGTCGTCTGCAGGAAACACAGTTCACAGAAACACAAAGCATGCAAGGTCGCATGGCAACTTTCAACAACAAAAACTACCAGTAGCAGGACAGGGATGAACTTAAAATAACTACAGTGCCTAGGGATTGATACCAAGCGGCAGACAACATAAAATTCGCAATCCTGGGGATAATACCATAGGAGCTAATAAAGCCTGTACATTCCCGAAATAGGTTGCTGGCTGTGCACCGGGAGGGAGATCCTGGGATGAACTGGAAGACGGTCATAAAAATCACCAGATGAGAAAACTATAATGCGCATGGCTGGCTCTGCAGAAAAGAATTCCAATCGAAAGACTGGCATGGAAAGTCCGTTGTCAACAACACATCATTCTGCTGGGATTGTGTGTGAGTAGTTCTCTGTTGTGTCCTCATTCTTCATTCCACTTGGCCTAAGCGAAGACTAGCCAAGCTTGCTTCGCGATGTCAACCCGACAGGTTACTCATTTCCCTCACTCTGATGATTCTTGAAACAAGATGAAACCGGTCAGTCAACCTATCGAGTAACTTTTGTTATGGTGTGTAGGGGGTTCTACTTTTCCAACTAGTGTATCAACCTCAGACCTCCCACACCTCCACAATGAGCACTGTTGAGGCAGCCCCAACTAGAGTAGCTGCCCACAGCATTTTTCAATGCCCACCCTCTTCTAAAAGAAGAATAGAGAGGGAAAATGATGATGACTGTTTCACCGCTCAAGCCGATTTGCCAGTCGTTCCAGCTGCTGACCCGTCAACTGCTGCCGCATCATCCCAGACTCTCCCGCCACCTCCTCCTCCACCACCTCCGCCGTCAATTGATCCGACTCTACACTCTCGGGCCTGCAACCCTCTGCCCGCACCCAACCTAGAGAGGTTAGTCAGGAAATGTATTAATCGAATGTGTACGAGCAGAAAGAGCATAGACGCCACTGCACAGAAGATACCAGCAATCTCTGATAAGCTAGCTAAGAATGAGTTTCCCACCTTCCTCTCAAAGAAATATGTGAAACTGTCAGCTGAGTCTACAAACATTGAGTGTACCAACTATCTTGAAAACAACGGGAGAATGCACAATCCAAACTGGACAAGACCACCAAACTCGAACAGGATGCAGCTAATGATCTTGAACATCTTGTTGAATGTCTGAAAGCTGATGATGTAGCCTGCCACCTTGCACCTCTAGTGGAAGCACGAGTTTGTTTGTCCTTGCTACAAAAAGTGCAAACGCCATTGCCAAGAAACTTGACGCTGCAATCTCTGATAGAATCAAGACTTCCAATGCACCTATAACTGTTGTCACTGACGTAGCAACTCTCCCACCTACAACTGAGGAAATTGGTCTACTTGTCAAACGTGCTGTTGCAAACGCTTCGAAATCCAACAAGCCCAAGTCTCCGAATAAAACACCAACCAAAAACAAACCAAAAAACTTGAAACGCCAAGGCAGCTTGAAACAGGCTCTCAAGAAGCCATCAACCAAAGCAACTGCCTGAAGAAATCCGAAAAACTATCTTAAATCTTCGTTTGAAATAATTATATTTGGCACTTACGTTTTTCCGATCATTTCAAAATGTTGGTTTGCGTTGCGCAAACCGTAGTTAACCTACATGTCACAGAGCCGCATCTCCCGCATGGAGATGCCGTCCGCGGACACGCCAAAACCGGCTAAGTCTCATACGAGCTCCGCTAAAGTCGTACGCACTGCCGGGCTCCCGCGTGGGGCCCCACGCAAGCATTCGCAACCGCGACGCGCGTACGACATGCCGTATAAGTCACCTATCCGCCTTGGGTGCAAGCTCACCCAAGGCCACCCTCGCAAGGCAGGAACAAGTAAAGACATTCACCAGTTGTTTGTTGTGCCTGCCCGCCGCAGAAATTGTTTGAAATTGTCTTCTTCTAAGCTTCCGCTCTCAGCGATAGTCTTTACACCCACCATGGCTTTCTCGCAGGCACAAATGGAGTCTATCCAGCAGATCGTGGCAGCCAGCGTGGCAGCAGCCCTCAGCGGCAACGCACCGGAGAACGGCACGGAGCACCAAGAAGACGGTATGTGTGCTGATCAATTAATGCACCATACGAACATGGGTTACCCCTCCTGCATTTCGCACGTCTCGTTGGAGACAGTCGATCGGATCAGACGAATCGAGTATATAGATCTGGCAATACTGCTCCCGCCCAAATCTATTTCTACCGGGGAGCCAGCCCCTAAGAGGTTCCGCATAGACGAGGAAGGGGCACTTTCGGTGACAAGTGCACCAAAAGGGAAAACTGAGAACCTTGCCACGTGGACCGAGGCATGGTCTATTTTTAGCCTGATCGCCATCCGCGATCAAACTCCCTGCGCCGCTGCACTGATGCAGCCGGGAAGTACCGCTTCTCGGCAGTCGTGGACTATGACACGCGGGCACGCCAGGCCCTGTCAAAGGACCCAAGCCGATCCCTGGCGGAGCTCGACACGGAGCTTTTCGCGACGTGTTTCACGGGACAGGCCCTCCCCAATTGCAGCATTTGCAAGAAGGTGGGGCAGTTGGCCGGAGCGTGCGCCTCGGCCTTTCGCGGCAAACAGGCGAAAGAGAGTACAAGCACTAAATCAACCGAAATCTGCCGCCGCTACAATCACGGCGCCTGCAGCGGCCCATGTCGCTTTCGACACGCCTGCCTCTTCTGCTCAGGCTCGCACGCCGTGTCAGCCTGTCCAGCCAAGAAATAAGAGCGAACAGCAATCAGCCCCGGCACCACTTTCTTGCATTCACCCACCCCCTAACACCCCTATGAACATTGCTGCATTACACCCCAACACCCCTATCAATATTAATGCATTACACACTGAATTGCTGGCGCACCCTAATCCTGCATTTGTTCATTCTCTAATTAGCAATTTACGTGCCGGCTGTCGTATTGGGTTCACCGGACCCCGTGATGTGTCCGTACGCAGCCCGAACTTGTCTTCAGCGGCAGCACACCCCGAGGTCGTCGACCAGTACCTGGCCACGGAATGCAGTCACGGCCACACCGCTGGCCCCTTCAACGCGCCGCCATTCGTCCATCTGCGCACCTCTGGCGTAGGTGTGGTCCCCAAGAAGTCGGGCGGCCACCGGCTCATCATGCACCTGTCCGCCCCCGATGGGAACAGCGTCAATTCGTTCATTGACAAGCAGGCCTACCGTTTCTCTCTAATTACGATTGACACGATAGCAGACCATGTGCGCAGGACGGGCCCCGGAGCCCTCCTGTCAAAGGTGGACCTGAAGCACGCGTTCCGACTCTGCCCCGTGCACCCTGACGACTGGCCGCTCCTCGGCATGTTATGGAAGGGCAACTACTATTTCGACACTGTCCTGCCATTTGGCCTACGCTCCGCTCCCAGTCTGTTTAACTGCCTGGCTACCGCCCTAGAATGGATCCTCCGTAATAACTACAGTATCCCTGCACTGGAGCACCATTTGGATGACTTCGTCTCAGTGTCTCCAGCAGCCGAGTCTGTCACGTCCTCGGCGGCCGCGACCCACAAAGCCACTATTCTGCAGGTCTTCGCAAAACTGGGTGTCCCAACAGCAGACGGCCCGGACAAAAGTTGTTGGCCCCGCCACCTGCCTCACAGTGCTTGGCATCAACATTGATTCAGCGGCAGGGGAGCTGCGGCTCCCAGCCGAGAAGCTCCGTACATTGCGGCAACTCCTAGCAGCCTGGGCCACCCGGTCATCAGCGTCCAAACACGAACTCCAGTCCCTCGTTGGCCACCTGGCGTTCGCCGCCAAGGTCGTGCCAGCTGGTCGTACGTTCATTCGCCGCCTCATCGACCTGTGTTCCTCGGTCACCAGCCCTGCCGCGGCCGTCCGCCTCACCAGCGAAGCTCTCGCCGACATCAAATGGTGGCAGGATTTCCTCCCACTATGGAACGGAAAGGCCCTCCTACGCGACCCCGTATGGTCAAAGTCCCCGGACCTGGAATTGTTCACCGACGCGTCTGGCAGCGGTTTCGGAGGCTTTTACCAGGGCCGTTGGTTCGCGGGCACATGGTCAGTGGCACAGCAGACCCCACCGTACACGTCCATAATGTGGAGAGAGATGTGGCCCATCGCCATTGCCTGCCCCCACTGGGCACAGAAGAAGATCCTCCTGCACTGCGATAATTCAGCAGTGTGCACTGCTTGGGAGTCCGGCACATGCCGACACGCCGGGGTCATGGCGCTGATACGCAGCACCATGCAATTCGCCGCTCGCCACAACTTCTGCCTGCTCGTCCGTCACATCGCCGGCGTCGACAACAGCATCGCAGACGCACTCTCCCGGGCCCAGTTCCAGCGCTTCCGCCGTCTGGTTCCCGACGCGGAGACTGCCCCATCGTCACTCGCCAGTGCCCAATCCGACAACAGATAGTCGCATCCGTCTGCAGCTGGCCAGGCGCTCCAGCCGCCAATTCAAGCTCCCAGCAATCCCAGCTACCACTGCGCGGGCTCGCCGTACGTCCGTAGTCCCCCCAGCCCAGCATCTGGCATCTCTGCTCTTTTCTTGTTGTTTTGTTTCCCCTACTCTACTAACCCACCTACAATTTCCGCTGGCAATGATCCATGCCCTCGCCGGGCGAACCCTTCTTGGTCTATCTTACCACTCTGTGTGCTTAATGGGCTTATCCGGCCCCTTAGAACCCCCCCCCCCTTTTCTTTTGGGAGGAAGGGGGGCCGACACCCCGCAGGCCCCAAGCCGGCGACCGCTGTACTCGGGGGCGCTCCATATGTACGCTACACGCGTGGCCCGCATGGCGCAAACAAAATATGGGCCAGGCACTGTGTTGCCATGCTACCGAGGCAAATTGTAGAGGGCGTTAAGCCTACCTAGCAGGTGTAGGTTTGCCTGTATACTAGGGGCACGGCTCCGTGAGCCTGACCTACTCGCTGTCTTGTGCTCTGCGTGTATATCCAGGCTCGCAAGCCGCGCGCATAACATCCCGCCGGATGTCCACCTCCCGCCGGAGGATCGCCTACAGAC